GCAGTTCGAAAGCAAGAAATTGCAAGTAGATAAATAGGTACCACTTCAGTGGGAAGGTAACAGCATTCCGTGCGCCTTGGTGTTTAGTCATGCCAGCCACATGATCATGGAAATGTCTTCGGACAGCGCTGGCTCTTCGGCTTTGAAACGGAGATGAGCACCACAACCCTAGAGTCAGACTCAACTGGCTTTCGAGCAAGGGAACCTTAACCTTTACTAATAAACATTAAAGCATCTGAATTTTGTGTTGTTTCATGTTGACTGCTAAAGTTAAAACCAATTTTTCTTTGGAAAATAGCCCTTGCTTTTTGTAACTCAAAGTATGCTCTGAAATTAACAACTGTTAAGGCAATGATGACATAGAATCATATTTTCTCTTGCTACTGTTTCATGTTCTGATTTCCCTTGACTAAATAGCTTGTTTGGGGTTAACATATGTATTTATGCATGTACTTATAAATCAGATTTCTGGCTTGAGTCTTTCTGGAATGGCATATTCTCTCACCTCCATTATGAGTTTAAAGAAAGGCTTAGAAAATTGGGACAGCCCTGTCCAGCCCCAAGAGAAAGCACATAAGCAACCTTTCCTGGATGTGTTCCATATTCTTGGTATTTACTGGCCTGCATATAGGGAATAGGAAATGAGGGGCAAAGATTTCCCTTTTGGACTGAAGTGATGGCTTTGAAACTGGGGAGACTAGTCTGGTTTTGAGCCTGGTCACTCCAGAGCTGTTTCTTAATGAGAAGCAGTGGGCACCTAGCTAGGGTAGCTGGAGCTTGCTTATTCTTGCAGCAGAGGATGGCTATATCACAAAGATACAGCTTGTTTTGACAGGGGGAAAATGTGGCACTGGTTTACTTTGTGATGCTGTGATAGCAGTAATTGGGACATCCCAAACTAAGCTCTTAAATGCTGGAACAGCAGGTTTTCAGTTGCAAGGGAGAAATAATATGAACAATGCAAATTGTGTCTGGGAGGAGAAGTTAATATATTGTAGCTGATGAGTTTCTGTTGACACAAGGCTGATCTTGCTGACTCCAAAGGATGTGAGATACCAAGCAGGTCATGGAGGATGTTGGCAAAGTTGTGCAGGTGTGTGAACTGGGCATTTTTGCCTATTTATTTATTTAGAAGCTTTTTTAATGTTGCCTTTCTACCTGATCAGGGTCCCCAAGGTGGGGCACATAAAAACATGAAAATGTTTCAACAATTGAAAATATTTAAAATTGTAAAATAAAATTATATAAAATAAATTACATAAGATATTTATATAACATAAAATAATTCAATAAAAGCACAAGCAATACCAGAACAAGAGAGTAGGGACAAAAACCATTATTGGTTGTATGCCAGATGAAACAAAAAAGTCTTCAGCTGCTCGTGAAAGACACCGATAGAGGGAGACAGGCAAATCTCCCTGGGGAGGCAGTTCCAAAGTTTTGGTGCCGTGATGGAGAAGGCCCTTTCTTGGGTCGCCGCCTGTCTAGCCTCAGATGTTGGGGGCAACCAAAGCAGAGCCTCCAAGGATGACCGGAGTGCTTGAACAGTGAGTTGACATTTCGGTTCAGCTGTCTCTCATAATCCTAAAAGCTCTTTCCTGATTAGTCACTGCCAGTTCAGATCCCATCATTGTACATAGCAGGTATGTCCAACAGGTAGATCACGATCTACCAGTAGATCGCAGAGGGGTCAGAGGTAGATCACCAGCCCCACTTGGTCTCCTGGTGTCAGTAAAAAATGTTCGAAGTTCTTTCTGGATCTTCGTCTCTCTGTTTTGTTTTTGCTTATTTTGCTTACCAGTAAATGACAGAAGGTGCATTATAAATGGGGGGTGGGGTGGGGGGCAGTGGAACCCAACTTTAGTGGGTTAAAATCTAATTTGAAACCAAATTCGAAACTAATTTGAAACTTTATTTTCATGTTGTTAGATCACCGGCACTTTTGGCCGGAAAAAATAGAAGTTGGACATGCCTGGTATATAGGTATGGTGGGTTTGGGATGCTGGGGTGGGTTCCCCTCCATTGGCAATCAGTTTGAATTAAGTGTAAAGATCCTGAGGAACACTGGCTTGGATCCAGACCAGTGTTTTGGTGGGCACAAGGAGTTTTGCACACAAAACATGGTTTTCTTACCTCCCCCCTGCCATGGAAGCCCCCAATGCCCCCAAAATTGGTTTTTAGGAAACAGGATTCTGAGAGCATTTTGCGCTGTTGTGGGAGGGGAGGTGGGAGAACTGCACTCTGTGTGTGGGGGGGAATACTTTCTGTCTTGGAAAGAGTCGTTTGGATCTAAAGGTATATCTGGGCTCAGTGATGCAGATATTGACAGGAAGGAGGGTTAGTTTGGAAGTATCAATTACACAGGTTAATTCTAATATACCAAGCTCTAATTCTAATAAACCAAGCCAGTTTGGTATAGTGGTTAAGAGCATGAATTCTAATCTAGGAAAACCGGGTTTGATTCCCCACTCTTCCACATGCTGATGTGACCTTGGGTCAGTCTTTCAGAGCTGTTCTTTCAAGGGCAGTTCTTGAGAGAGCTCTCTCAGCCCTACCTACCTCACAGGGTGTCTGTTGTGGGGAAGGGGATTGTAAGCCGCTCTGAGTCTCTTTCAGGTAACAAAGGGCAGGCTATAAATCAATATCTTATTCTTTTCTTCTTCAGTATACAAGACTCAGTAATAAGAATTCTGATCTTTTAAAAAAAATCAGTAAGCTGCTTTTGAAAATAGGATTTTAGCTAATAAACGACACATTTCTCTGCGAGAATAAGACTTCATTAGAGAATGGGGGGAAAGTGATTTAAAATCTCTTTGAAAATGTTTTCTACTATTTGAGGTTGGGATTTCAGGTCCATCTTGCATTGGGGGGGGAGAGCTGGGGCTGCAGCATGGCCAATGTGCTGTGTTTTGTTTTTCAGCTCTTCCTAAGTGTCAGTGGAGAGTAGAGTGGCAGGTGCCACCACTGTGGGGTCAGAACTGTTTCCCTCTTCAGCAGGGAATCCAAATGTGGACTTGCATTGTCACAATGAGTTACCAACCCCAAGGTGTGGTCTGGAGTTCTCCCAGAATTATGGGTGATCTCCCAACTACAGAGATCAGTTATCTTGGAGGAGATGGCAGCTGAGGAAGGTGGACTGTTTGGCATTGCATCTCTCCTGGACCTCACTCCCCTCCCCAACCCCTGTCCTTTCCAGGTCCCACCCAGAATTTCTCAAAGTGCAGTTGGCTACCCTGTAACGTCATGCTGGTTGCTGGTGGTTCCACTGTGGCTGGCAATAGAAGTTACACAGGATGGTGCACCATTGAGAGAGAGGCTCAAAACAAGTGGGCAAGAGGTGATATGAATGAACATGGTGGGTTGCAGTGTGTGCCCTTTCATATGACTGGGAGTAGATGTTGAAATGCCCTTTTTTTAAAGGGAAGCTTATGCTGAATCTTAACACTTTATACAATTGAACAGGTGGTCTGTAGAAAAAAAATTGTGAATGTTTTTAAAGTACATGTCAATATTCTTGGAGATAGATGACTTAGTATCTCAGGATCAAGCTACATGCTACTCGGAGTTGAATCAGATATCCCAATGTTTTCTATACTGGTGAAAAGCAGCACGGTGTGTTTTGGAGGGGGTAGGGTGCATTGGAGACAAATCACCGAGCTGGGGTGTTAACCCTTTCCCCTTGCAGTGTACCCATATTGATCTAATTGGGTCTACTAGCTGTTTGGGGGCATTCTTGTCAGGGAAACACCATGTTGTATGTGTGTGGGTGTGTGGGTGTGTAGATTTCTGTTCCTGCTCCAGTGCTGCGGCTCTGACTGGAATTGTGTGATTTGATCCTAAAAAGATGGAAGTCAAAGGTAGCTCAGAACAGGGCTGTAGCCTTAGGCCTTAAGGAATCAGAACTGGTAAAAATTGAGGGCTTTCTTACTTAAAGCTGAAGATCTGTGTCAAAGTGCCTCTGATGGGTTAGTAGGTGAAAAATGGGAAAGCTGAACCTGATGAAGGGCCATTGCTAAGGTTATGATCAAAACTGCCGCCTGCTTGTGCCAGCTATGCTGAAAAATCATCCTGACTGTTCTAAAATTAGCTGCAGAATTCCGAGGCACGCAATGCTTCTTGTGCTGAAGTGTTGCTAGGGGAATCTATCCTTCCATTTGTCTCTGCTGTGCACCAGTGTGATTGATTTATTATTAGGACTGGGAGGTGAGTGGAAACCCCCTCATGCCAGGTGTCTTATTGAGCTTCCAGGGAAGTCCAGTGGTTGTCCAGCTGCTCCTGTAAAATGAATGGGAGGGGCTGTATGTAGGTTACGTACGGAGATTGGGCTCCCCACCCCATTTTATTTTACCCGGATTTCTTGGCAAAAAGCTGCTTAAATCAGTTACTGGGCAGAGAGCAAACCCAGTGCTGGAGCTTGTTTTTTTGGGCAGCTTTCCAGTGAGATAAGGCATGCATTAAATTGCCACAGGATATTCACCTGGGAGGGCACTGCATTAGCGATTTCTCTCTCGTAATATATATTTTAATTGGCTCTTCTGATCTTCATCCCTACCTTTTGTACATGTTGTTGTTATGGACACTGGAGACTGTACCTCCCCCTACCTATGGTATAACTCTGCTTGTCTTTTAAGCTGTGCCAATCAAAATCAGCTGAGGTGCTGACAATTCACTCTCACAAAGCCTCTGCAGAAAACTGTGCAGAAATCTTGCAAGAGGAAGTGGCTCAACTCGGTTCAACAGAAAGCAAGCAGGAAGGGCTGGGGGGAGGAGGGAGGTGATGCTGTTCAGCAACCAGCCTCCCTGGGCTTGTAGATAAGAGATCAAGCCACAGATGGTGAGTGAGGGAGCAAGCCAGGAGCTGAATAAAGTCTCTCAGGGTCTTGCACCTTCTCCAATTCTGGCAGAGGTTAGCAGGAAGAGAGAGAGAGAGAGAAAGGAAGAGCGAGAAATTGGCGGATGATAAGAAAGCCTATTTTTTTTTTAAAAGGAGACCTGCCTTGATTTGTTCGTCAAAAGGAACTGTTGCACAGCATGGCATGTGGGTTCTGGAGGAGGTGAAACAGTGTATGCAGCTGATCACATAGGAACTGAATTGGGAAACACCGCAGCGGCTGCAGTGAGCTGGGAAGTCAGATGGTTACTGTGGGGTCAGAACTGTTTCCCTCTTCAGCAGGGAATCCAAATGTGGACTTGCATTGTCACAATGAGTTACCAACCCCAAGGTGTGGTCTGGAGTTCTCCCAGAATTATGGGTGATCTCCCAAGTACAGAGATCAGTTATCTTGGAGGAAATGGCAGCTGAGGAAGGTGGACTGTTTGACATTGCATCTCTCCTGAGCCTCACTCCCCTCCCCAACCTCTGTCCTTTCCAGGTCCCGCCCAAAATTTCTCAAAGTGCAATTGGCTACCCTGTAACGTCATGCTGGTTGCTGGTGGTTCCACTGTGGCTGGCAATAGAAGTTACACAGGATGGTGCACCATTGAGAGATAGGCTCAAAACAAGTGGGCAAGAGGTGATATGAATGAACATGGTGGGGTGCAGTGTGTGCCTTTCATATGACTGGGAGTAGATGTTGAAATGCCATTTTTTTTAAAGGGAAGCTTATGCTGAATCTTAACACTTTATACAATTGAACAGGTGGTCTGTAGAAAAAAAAATTGTGAATGTTTTTAAAGTACATGTCAATATTCTTGGAGATAGATGACTTAGTATCTCAGGATCAAGCTACATGCTACTCGGAGTTGAATCAGATATCCCAATGTTTTCTATACTGGTGAAAAGCAGCACGGTGTGTTTTGGAGGGGGTAGGGTGCATTGGAGACAAATCACCGAGCTGGGGTGTTAACCCTTTCCCCTTGCAGTGTACCCATGTTGATATAATTGGGTCTACTAGCTGTTTGGGGGCATTCTTGTCAGGGAAACACCATGTTGTATGTGTGTGGGTGTGTGGGTGTGTAGATTTCTGTTCCTGCTCCAGTGCTGCGGCTCTGACTGGAATTGTGTGATTTGATCCTAAAAAGATGGAAGTCAAAGGTAGCTCAGAACAGGGCTGTAGCCTTAGGCCTTAAGGAATCAGAACTGGTAAAAATTGAGGGCTTTCTTACTTAAAGCTGAAGATCTGTGTCAAAGTGCCTCTGATGGGTTAGTAGGTGAAAAATGGGAAAGTTGAACCTGATGAAGGGCCATTGCTAAGGTTATGATCAAAACTGCCGCCTGCTTGTGCCAGCTATGCTGAAAAATCATCCTGACTGTTCTAAAATTAGCTGCAGAATTCCGAGGCACGCAATGCTTCTTGTGCTGAAGTGTTGCTAGGGGAATCTATCCTTCCATTTGTCTCTGCTGTGCACCAGTGTGATTGATTTATTATTTGGACTGGGAGGTGAGTGGAAACCCCCTCATGCCAGGTGTCTTATTGAGCTTCCAGGGAAGTCCAGTGGTTGTCCAGCTGCTCCTGTAAAATGAATGGGAGGGGCTGTATGTAGGTTACGTACGGAGATTGGGCTCCCCACCCCATTTTATTTTACCCGGATTTCTTGGCAAAAAGCTGCTTAAATCAGTTACTGGGCAGAGAGCAAACCCAGTGCTGGAGCTTGTTTTTTTGGGCAGCTTTCCAGTGAGATAAGGCATGCATTAAATTGCCACAGGATATTCACCTGGGAGGGCACTGCATTAGCGATTTCTCTCTCGTAATATATATTTTAATTGGCTCTTCTGATCTTCATCCCTACCTTTTGTACATGTTGTTGTTATGGACACTGGAGACTGTACCTCCCCCTACCTATGGTATAACTCTGCTTGTCTTTTAAGCTGTGCCAATCAAAATCAGCTGAGGTGCTGACAATTCACTCTCACAAAGCCTCTGCAGAAAACTGTGCAGAAATCTTGCAAGAGGAAGTGGCTCAACTCGGTTCAACAGAAAGCAAGCAGGAAGGGCTGGGGGGAGGAGGGAGGTGATGCTGTTCAGCAACCAGCCTCCCTGGGCTTGTAGATAAGAGATCAAGCCACAGATGGTGAGTGAGGGAGCAAGCCAGGAGCTGAATAAAGTCTCTCAGGGTCTTGCACCTTCTCCACTTCTGGCAGAGGTTAGCTGGAAGAGAGAGAGAGAGAAAGGAAGAGCGAGAAATTGGCGGATGATAAGAAAGCCTATTTTTTTTTTAAAAGGAGACCTGCCTTGATTTGTTCGTCAAAAGGAACTGTTGCACAGCATGGCATGTGGGTTCTGGAGGAGGTGAAACAGTGTATGCAGCTGATCACATAGGAACTGAATTGGGAAACACCGCAGCGGCTGCAGTGAGCTGGGAAGTCAGATGGTTACCTGGCTCTTTGGCTCCCAGGAAGACTCCACATGTTCTGAGAATCTGGTATCCCCTCTTAGATGACTGTCGACAACAGCATGAGCAGTGGTTATTGTAGCTTGGATGAGGACACCGATGACTATTTTTTCACAGCTAGGACCACTTTGTCCAGGAATCCTCAGAGCAAATGTGCTGCAAAGGTAACACGCTTCTGTAACAGTCTTTCCCTCCCATAGTAAGGTCTGTGTTTGTTGCTAGCTGTCAGGCTATCAAAATTAGCCTGCTGTTTAATACTAAAGTGGCATTTATTTTGCTGTTATATTAATATACATGCTCATTTGCAGGAGCTTAAAGCTTATCCTTCCGGCATTTCACTCTTTCAATATCTGATCCTTTTGCATTCATCTGGGTATTTGACTTTGACACCTGTTTGCTATCCCCTACATGTCAAAGTGAGCTAACTGAGACCCTGTAGTAATCTTTTGCAACACAACGTTTTTGACCATCTAGCTTGTTAAAGGTTGTGAGATGGCTTGTTAAAAATGACCGAAGAACATTAGACTGTCTTGTAGATGCTTTTGAGTCTAGTGACATTGTTTCAGTGTGCATATTTTCAAAAAGAGGATGTTGTCTTGGAAAAATCTGCCCTGAACTGGATGATATGTTCAATTCAGGCTTTACACTTGAGGACTTAGGATGAGCAATAGGTTTTGTGGCTTGTTCGTGTGTGTGTGTGTGTGTAATTATGTGTGTCGCCCTTTACTGATATAATAGACTGTGGTATGATAATCTTATTTGACAGCTGTAAACCTGCTTTGTGGAAAAATCTCCTCAAATAATATATGAGTGTTAGTATTGTGAGATTTGAACAAAATAAAATAAAATGGGTTTGTGTTACTTTTTTGTCATAATTTACAATTTTACTATAACCAATAGCCAATTAGCAATTGACTCTTAGATGAAAGCTTAACAAGGTGGATGGATTATAAATTGAGATGATATAAATCATTGTTTTAAATCAAGCTCCCAATGTGATTAAACAAATGCATGTACTTGTTTTCAGTTGAAATATATTGGTTTGCACTAAGGTATATTTACAGTTGAGAAATAGTGTAAATATGCACTAAGCAAACCTAGATAATTTTGGGTGTTTGTAAGTTACTGAGCACAACAGTGTTTTCTCCATGAAAATTAATGGCCATACTTTCTAGGCCAATAGGGCTGTACTTATTCATAATCTGAGAAATTACTACGATGCTGAACTCTGGTAATTGGACATTAAATAATTATACAATTGGGCTTGGTAGATGATCCTAGCGAAACATGAGACAGTGCATCTTGTAGTAGTACCTGTGATGTACCAGTCTCTTGTCTGGGAAGAAGTATATATGTTACATTTGTAATGCTTGAACTCAGTGGCGTGATGGCTTTAAAAGTGGGTTAAGATGAATTAATAAAGGATAAATCCATTGATGGATAAAGGAACAGAGTGAGCACATGAAGCTGCTTTATATGGTGGACCAAACTACCTGCTAGCTGTGACATGAGTAAGGTTGAGGTTCTGCAACCTGATATTTGCCCCTCCAAATATGCCCCCCATCTCCACTGTAGCTTTGGAAAGGGCCTGGGAGGGAAGGCTGAAGCCTCTGCTCCTCTTGTATCATACTTCTTGAGCTGAAGCTGGCCCTGGAGCATTTGGGAACATTAGTTTCCCAACTCATGTCACAGGTAACATGTGGTTTGGCCCTGAGTCAGATCATTGGTGTGTCAAGGTCAGTATTATCTACTCTGTCTGGTAGTAGCTTCCCAAGGTCTGAAGTAGAGATCTTTCACATCACCTACCACTTGATCCTTTGCACTGGAGACACCAGGGACTGAATGGGGAACCTTTTACATGCAAAACAGGTGCTCTAACTAGTAAGCCAGAACCTTTGCCTTGAATTCCTTGAAACAGTGTTTCCATAGTCAGAGATGCTAGAGGAGAACAGTGCGGGAAGGCTTTGGTCTCTATGTCTTGCTGACAGGCTTTTCAGAGGCACATGATTGATCACTGTGGGAACTGGGATGCTGGACCAGTGGACCATTGATCTGGTCCAGCAGGCCCCTTTTTTGAAGGTAATTTCACCTGTTGCTCATATTTAACATAAAAATCTCTCTTCAATTCAGTATCTTTGATAAAGGGTTATAGATTTCAGTTTAAGATAGAAGTATAAAGTTTAACGTGTTTATATTAAGTTTAATGTTTTCTAAGTAAATGGAAGGATGAGTGCTTATCCCTATAAGTTCTCATCTAGTCCTTTAAAAAGAAGAGAAAAATGTGTGCAAGTCTTCGTGCTTCCATACAGCACTACCCACCCACCCCCACTGAAGGCTGTCTTTCTAAATCATTTTTTCTTTGGACGATTTCATTGGTTGGTTTGCTTGCAGAATTAAAAATGGAATGAACAATTTCCCCCGCTTTTGCAGTATCTCTTCCTCTTCTAACATAAACCTGCCCACCCGTCCATTAATTTTGTACATCTATACTGAAGCTGAATCAGGGGTAGTATTATTGACACAGTAAGGGGGGAGTTACCTCAACTGCTGCCCAGAAGTAATGGTCTCTGCACAGCCTTGATTCACCAGTCAGATAGTTTTGTAAAAAGAGAAGGGAAAAAGACATTTAGGGGAAGTCTAGTTTTTACACAGGAAGAAAGAAACCTCAGACCTTCAAAGGTTTTACTGGTATAAATGAACACATGGTAAAGCCCTTGCACAGAAGTTTGAACTTAGGTCTGCTTTTAGCTTGAGAAAAGGAAGTGATGTCACTTCTCAGTGGGCTGCCTCTTGTGTCTGTGGAGAAATGTATATAAAATTGAGACATGTGCCCTTGGACTTCTATGACAGAAGCTGCAACTGTTAAATCCAAACAGGTAGTGTGGGGCTCATCTTTCTAAAAGTGTGGTGAACCATTGAACTTCACACGTCTCAAGTGATTTGGTGCCTTTCCACACAGCAGGCAGTAGTCTTTTCTTTTGATGCTTTCTTCCATTTTTCTAGCATTCCCTCTGGAATTACTGTAGGACAGAAGAGGGAGCTTCATTTAATAACCAGTCTCATTTGCTGCCATTTGTTTAAAAAAGGCTTTACTGAGTCATGTCTGTGGGCGTTGTAAAAGATCAAAATCTTCTATATGTTTCTGTACCAGTGCACATTTCGTGCCTTTGAAAATCTTCCTTTTGCATGGAGAGCTAGAAATGCTAGAAACAGTTAGACAGTATCAGAAAATTGGTCCATCTTGCCAAGTATCCTCTTTCTCAAATGAAGGCCAGCACCAGATGCTGCAGAGGAGTGTGCAAAACACATACATTCAATTATGCGGGATAATTTGTCTCCATTTAAGAAATTCTGAAATCATTAGTGATTTGGATTTGAGCCTGGAACAGGAGAGGCTTCGTCCCCTTTTTCATTGGTAGCACTTAACGACTTGAGTTCTGTGTTTTCGTTTTCTGTGAGAACTGTAGAAAGATTGAGTTCGGGGCAAACTCAGTTACACAAGAACATTGTTTCCATAGCTTTGTCTCACCTCCTCTTATAATAGCCAGTATGGATACACAAGCCTTACTTTATATTTTTCTCTGCTTGATGTCCGCTTAATGAAACAGTCCTGCAAATGAAGAACAGTTCTTGAGCCCACTATGTTATATAAGAATGAGTGCTACACTGGTGATGTTTCATCTTGTTTGCTGGTTGGAATTAGAGTTCAAAGGAAGAGAACAGGGGCTTACAAGGTATATGGGGACTGTTCTGTTGCGTCCCAGCACTGTCCTCCCACACCAAACAACTATAAGTGATTGTTAAAGCTGCACTGATTTGGTGAGGAGGATGTATTCTGGTTTCCAGCACAGTTTGTGTTTTTATGAGGGGAAGGGGGATTGGGGAAGATGGACATTTCCAGAACATCCTGAGACTGGAGTCAAGGCTGGTGAAGGAAACTATCTCTGTGTTCTGTCTCAGCAGCTAGTGATCCTCCTCTTTGTTTGCTGAACAAACCATGCAGGAATCACAGATTAATGAAAGTCCCTATTTCAGTTGCCAGCTATAATTTAATGGATTGTAATGCTGTGAAGCTGTTTCTGAGAATGGTCATAATACTTCCAGGGTGCATAAGAACACAAGAGAAGCCAATGCTGGATCAGGCCAATAGCCCATCCAGTCCAACAGTCTGTCACACAGTGACCAAAAATACCAGGTGCCATCAGGGTAGTATCATTAATGAGTTGCCAATCTTATTTTTCTAGTTTAATAAATATGGGGGAAATGTCGAAAGTTGGCGCTGGATCACACCAATCTATTGTGCATTTCCCCAGAACAAGGATGAAGCCTTTCTCTAACACCTAAGCCTTTTGCTTCAGCAGAAGGATCCTTGCAAAAGAGGGAAACACTGGTGGATCCATGGGATCCAACTTGTGACATCTCTGGGGTACTTGGAGATTTTTTTAGACTTTTCATTGCCTTTGCAGCCAAGGGAAGCACTGGTGAAATGATGGGGATGTAGTTTTATTAAATCCACTCTAAAACATACTATAAATTGCTGGTTCTGCCACCAACCATGAAGTTCTGAAGTAGTATGGGCTGAGATGCTTTCTAGATGCCATAGGTAGAGTTGAGGGTTTGCTAGAACTCCAAAACAAGGAGCAGTTGAAAATCCAGGTCCCCTGCTGCCTCTGTGGACAGGAGGGAGTGTGATGTTTGCTTGTTCCAGACTGAAGACACTTTGTAGAACAACTTTGCCTTACAGGAAAATTTGGTTGGAGACCAGGCTCAGGTGATGCAGGAAGGTAGGACAACAGGATTCCAGGTGTTTGCATTCTGAACTGAAATGTGGCTGGTAGGCTTTCTTTCCCATACTGTAATGAAGCAACTCAGACGTGTCCTAGCTGAAGATTTGGTACTGTCTGGGAATAATTGCAAACAGTGGTTGCACTGGAGTGGTGGACCTGATTTACATCATTCAGTGTTCCCTCTAAGCTGAGTTAGTGTGAGCTAGCTCACAGTTTTTTAGCCTCTGGCTCACACATTTTTGTCTTACCTCAGGGAGGATGGCTCCAGAGCCAACTAATTTATGCAGTAGCCAAATTGCTCACTCATAGCTTTAATGCCAGTAGCTCACAAAGCAGAATAATTGCTCACGAGACTCCACAGCTTAGAGGGAACATTG